GCTCCTCCCATTCATTTTTTCCCCCTTGCCAATACAAAACAGTGTCTTACAGAGCTTTTTACACAACAGTGCATTTACATAATTCGAAACAAACATGCACAGCCTAGGTGTGTGTGTGCCTGAAAAGCAGTGAATCACATTTACTTAGGGGAAAAAACATGACAAATGCAAGCCCTAAATGGTCCAAGTTTGGCACTGTGAAACCATCCACAAGGTCCTCCCAAGGCCAACTCGGTGACCTCGCTTCAGAAGTCAGCCTTGAACACCTCACGAAGCAGGCCTTTTCCTACTTGACACAAGCAGGAATGGCCTTGGTGACAATTAACAAAGACAACATTCAATTTTAAGTAAGACTGAAATTTACTCCAAAACCGATTTTAGGCAGCAAAACTACCTTGTTTAACCTGGGGGAGAGGGTCCTCAGAGGGAGGTCAATCCCAGAGGCTAGGGAACTCAAAATGCTGGGGCAAATTGGGTCAGGATCTTTCCAAGACTCTTTTTCTTTTCTTTGTGTGACAAAGGATCTGCAGTCAAACGGTATCAGCACCTGCGTTCCATCTTCCACCTGAGAAACTTAGGAAAACCCTAGTCCCTGGGTGACCTGGCTGGGAACAGTACTGCCATCCTGAGCTGGGCTGGATGGAATACAAGGTTTCCCTCAGCTCAACAGGGCAACTGTGTCTCCAGGCTGGTCCCCTACCAGCCTCCGCTCCAACCAGGAGTGAGCAGGGCCATCTTGGGGGACTGGGATAAACCCTCACCTCATGTACCTTTCCTTGATTATAAAACATAGATGCCCAGTTCTCGAGACTCTGAACACACATCCAGGTACCCAAGGACTCACATGCTATAAAATACTAGAGCAGGGAGCAAGTCTGAACTCCCCAGCTTCCAAGCTCAGTTGAGGTTCTTCTCCCTGTGGACAGAGGATGGACAATCATTATGGAGTCAGTGCCAGGCCAGCCAGGTCCCAGGCCTGATGGGCTCTGGGAAGGCAGCTTGTCTTGCTCAGATCCAGGCCTCAAGACTTCCAAACTGACCACAGCAGCACAAACCCACATGAAAAACAACAGGTCCGCTAATGAGCCAACCGCAAAAAAAGGGCTTCAGAAGCAACAAGCAACCCTTCTCATTATTTCACTAGAAAAACCAACTCTCAACTTTTTACGTTTCAAAACTATCAAAAGTAGTGCTCAGACACCATCTCCTCGCGAATTCCAGCCATTTCCAGAAAGATGAGTCAGCAAAGGGCCGCCTTCCACCCACCATTCGCCAACTCAGGCCTGCTCCAAAACAGAGGCAAAGCAGGCTGTCCTGAGGTCAGGTGGCATCTGTCACGGGAAGGGAAGGACGCCCTGAATTATTTAATGGGACTTCTCCATGAACCTCATCACCTATTTCTCTTCTCTAAACACCCAAGTCCAGTGAGCTTTGTTATCTTTAAATTCAAATGCTCCAGCACTGTTGGAGGAAAGAAGGTCTAAATATCCACTGCCAAGGTATCTTTTTAAAACTGAGAAACAGAGAGAGTAAGAATTTTGCTTTAAACTGGGAAAAACGGATTTTTTTTTAAAAGACCTTGGCCAACAACTTCAATTTGGTTTGTCCTAGATCATGGTGTACCTTCCAGGCTGAGCGGCCCCACTTCATTTTCTCCCCTGCAACCTGAAGAGCTTTCTAATTTTAAAAGTGAGTAAACCTTTTACAAGGCTGTCAACGATGAGCATCCACTGGGTTTCAGCCAAATGCAAAACACAAGCAGACCTCCTACGGCACACAGAAGTAAAAATGGAGATGTCAATGGAGGGCTCTCCAGGGGGAAATTCTCCTCTCCAGGGGGAAATTCTCGCGGGGTTTGGGCGCCCTCGTCCCCTTCCCCAGACTATTTGAACTTAATCTGCAAGTAAATTACCTCCAGTTCCTAGGATTAGGGGAAGTATTTGGCTCTGTGGGATTAAAGGGCACACTACCCACACTTGTCCACGAACACTAAAAAGTGCAAAATAAAACTTTTTAAAAACGAAAGTATCACTAACATTCACATTCAGAAGTTTTAAAAGGAGGTGGCCACAAACAATTTAGAATTTCCACTTTTATTGAATTAGGAGAAGCCGGTTTAAAGCCATCAGGGCACAGCTCCGCCTCCTTTCCCCCCAATAACAGGATGCGCGCGTGGAAGAGGCTGCCAGGCTGGACTCGCACGCACACTAACTCTCCGTGGGACTTTTAAGAGGCCCCGATGTCCCTCCACCGGCGGCCTAACGCGACTGCACGCACCAGAGTGCTCACACAGGTCTAGAGAAGTTACCGACACTCCAAATAGTGGTCCCTCCACTCCCTAGATGGAGCGAGCTGGCGGTGCGCCTCCACATCCATGTGCGAAGGGAAGGGTCACGTGATGGGTGGAAACTAAGCCCTTAAAGGTTCCTCAGAGACCCCACAAAGTGCAGAGTGGCCGCGATGCAGCTCGGACCATGCCCACTCCGGGCTCGGGCTCGGACAGCTGATCTCGCCTTTTCTAAGGGAAGTGGAGCCCAGCTGAGCTGGGTGGGGACACCAGGGAATCCGGTTCCCGCAGGGGCTGCAGCCGGGACTGCACTGCATGCCCCCCGCGAGCAGAGGGCAATGAGCGTGGTCTGTGGCCGCCGGTCCGAGGGTGACCACGAACCAGCTGAGCGGTCAGGAGGCGCTTTTTATAGCGCGGGAGATCGAGACCACAGATCAAGGAACAAGAGCTGGAGACCCCAACACCCACGAAGGATGAACACGTGCTTCTGTCAAGTGTGATGATAACAAATCGTGAAACGGAGAGTGCGTAAGTGATGGCGCAAATCACGGATTAAGGGTCATAACGTCCACGCAAAAATCATTAAAACGTCTAAGTGCAGGTTTTCACCACTATTTAAAAATCCACACAAGTCTTCTATTCTGAGACAAAAAAGCTTGTCCTCTGTCCAAAACAAGAAACGCGGCCCCTCATTCAGACCCATCTCCGCCGAGGCGCGGAGTGCGCACGTGGAAACCGGTCCCCGCGAACGCGCCCCAAACAACCCCACACCCAGGACCTTCTCAGTCCACGCCTCACCAAGAGGCAAGCCCCGGCGAGGAAAATACGGGCCGCGGACGGGCAGAGCACCCCAGGAGCCCACGTCCACACCGATTCACAATTTCCATCCCGCGTCCTGCTTAGGACAACAATCTACACGCTTTGTCAAAACAGAAAAGGGACAAGCTGTGAAGACTCCCGCGGTGCGGGAACAGCAGAGGGGAAGGGAACTCCCACGTGCAGGCCAGGTCTACTACACACACACACACACACACACACACGCAGCCCAGATCTACAACATACACACACACATACACCACACAAAACATACACCACGTGCAGGCCAAGTCTACAACAACCCCCACCCCATGCGCAGCTCTGTTCTACAGCGCGCGCGCACACACACAGACCTCACACGTGGAGACCAGGTCGACAGCACAGAGACACACACAATACGTCTCTCGTGCAAGCTGGGCTATAACACATTCTTCTTGTTGGCTGCCGTCTACCTGGAGCCAAGGGTGCGCACATTTCCCAGGAAAGTAAACACTTGACAAGGGAGAGGGGTCCGGGCGCTGGAAGCCGTCGGGGCCACTAGCAGGCGCGGGCAGAGCAACCCGCAGCCCGTCTCCCTCCACAGACACCACTTACTTCCCATATCGTGGCGCACGATCTACTTGGAAACAACCGGCTGCCGATTTGAAAGAAGCGAATAAATCGATCAGGAGAAGTGGGTCTCCTCCTTCCTCGGGGGCCCGCTGGAGGCCCTCCGGAGAGCAGTGGGAAGCCTGGCTCGCACACCCCGGCACACGCTCCCTCCCTGCCCGCAGGGCGCACGTCCCCGGGGCCGCCACACTCACCTCGTCGTCGTGGTGCTGGCAGAAGCCGAGGCGCTCAGGGAACACCGACAGGATGGAGAAAGGCGAGGCGGGGAAGGGCGGCCCGAGCCCCAGCTGCTGCGCTGCCGCGGCGGCGGCGGCGGGGCCCGGCGGACCGCGCTCAATGTAGTGGTCCTTGGTGAGGCGCACGCGCTGGTGAGCGCGGACACAGTTGTCGCACAGGTGCTCCTGGCAGTCGAGGCAGCGCGATGAGGCGGCATTGCCCTCGTCGCAGGAGCTGCAGCCGTGAGGCCGGCGCAGCAGCAGGGCCGACGGTGAAGCGGCCGGGCCACCCGGCG